CAAGCATGTGTTAGATCTCTTTAGCTATATACTATATTCCCCCTTTTTGCAAAAGGAGGGATATTCGTTACAAAGTATAAAATTTTCATATGCGTAACTGTTGATTTATTGTTCCGACTCGTAACGAAAGTAACGGAATATTTGTGCTCGGGGTGGTTTGTTGGGACGAAAAAACGAGAAGTTCTACAATCTTCCCAGCCAATGACTAAACTTCGTTAATTTCCATTGTTCAATAATGGATTTTTTTTGTTTTCCATTAATGGTATTAATCAGGGGTTGCGCAAAACATGTGGCCATATAATGGGGTTTTTTTCGTTCCATAATTTTGAATGAAAACTCAAAACAAATTTTTCAATCTTACGAAATTTTTGAAGCCAGATTATTATCCCAAAGCTCTTTATTGAAAATATTGCATATTTCTGTCGTTGTTAAATTCGGCCAATATCAATATTCAGTCCCTGGAAATGTTTAATTTCTTTCCAAATTTTAGATTACTGAAATCTGATAGGCTGATTTTTATTTTCGCGCATTCGGTCCTTCGCGTATGAGGGATTCCACCGCTCACTATTTGTTTTACATAATGGGGTTACGTCATCCCTAAATTATGGCCATAATCGAAGGCAGTTCCATACATAATGGCCTTACTTTTTGTCCTTTCCCTCCATTATTTACGGCCATAATGGGCCCCTACCATTATTTTTGCGGAAGCCTTGGGTATAATTCATGTTGTTAAAATTAATTTCCATTAGTTTTTGAGAACCCTTGTTTTCCATACCCAACCGTTTGATTGACTAAAAGGAGCGGGTCTTATGCGTTAAACGGCCCAAAATTAGGAAAATAGTCAGAAATTTTCTTTCAAATTGAAAACACGTAATCAACATACAATTACTATCTGTCTGTTTGAAATTCTCAGTATCAATCGAAATGGCTGACCTAGTTGCTCGAATTTGATTGGCTAATAATAGCCAATCAGGATCAGTTTCAGTTTTAGTTTTCATTTTGCTTCAATTTTGGTTTTTGGGCCGCTTAACGCATAAGACCCAAAGGAGCTACAGTGCTGATTTAAATTATCCGGATAAAACGAACAAAACTTGAATTTTCAAACACGTTTTTCTCAAATTGGGTTAACATAAGACAAAAAGTGAAGAGAACAAAAGTTGCTTAGAATTTCATCAGAATTAATATGGCGCAATTTTTTCTCCGAAATTCTCAACAAAAATTTTACCCCAAAAATGGGCCATTGAGTTTTTTCTTACGCAGCTCAACAAATTTTAACAAGGGTTAAATCTTCAAAAACAGTAAAAGAGAAAAAATTTTCACTCGATAGTCAATAAATGTGATTTTTACTATATAAAACGCAGAATCTCTGTTTAAAATAAATTTTAAATAATTTGTGCAAATTTTTGGAGATTTAACCCTTGTTAAACTTTGTTGGGCTGTGTAAGAGGCTTCTTGTGCTATAATTTTCTTATCCATTAAAAAAGTGGTTTCAGGGTATTTTTTGATTAATTGAAAAAAAACTAAAATTACCCATTTTTGGGGTAAAATTTTTGTTGAGAATTTCGGAGACAAAATGGCACCGTATTAATTCTGGTTAAATTCTAAGTAACTTTGTTCTCTTCGCTTTTTGTCTAATCTTAACCCAATTTGAGAAAAACGCGTTTGAAAATTCAAGTTATGTTCGTTTTGTCCGGATAATTTAAATCAGCACTGTATAAATGAACCGGTGCGTATTCATAGGTTCCAAAATAAAAAATCAGTCCCATAGGTTCCAAAATAAAAAAGCAGTCGCATAAGTTCCAAATCTTGTCAATTGTCAAAAGACTAAATTATCCGAGTCTCGGTTTAAGGTCGCCGGTGGGCGCGCTACGCGCGCGTCGCCGCTTTGCGGCGATAACTGGCTGTAAATTTCGTATAGAGTCCTACTCTTTGGTGGCAAGCTCGCAACATGTTGGCGCGGCTGCGGCGGTCACTATCCTGCAGCTTGAGTTTATGCTGGTTGAACAGTAAACAATCAATCCATAAATTCGTTGGCTCAAATTTCAACCAATCAGAATTCAAGAAGATAAATTTTGGCTGTGGTAATTCACCAAATGAACCTTTTTTGGGGGGGGGGGGACTTTCGAGCTCTTTTCCAGTTTCCTACCTTTGGTTTTTCTGAAATTCTTTATACGGAAATCTATTTAAAATGACTTTTCATGTTATAAGCTGCAACGAGTGTACCCCAGCCGAAGTATAAACCAACCGAAAAGTTACGTCATATGAATCAAGTTTGCAATTGTGTCCGGCTCTTTTTCCTCCCCCCCCCCCCCCCCCCACCTGCAAATTTTTACATGTAAATTTGTTGACCACATTGTCCGATTGTTATTAAAATTTACATACAGACTAATAAGGCCACGACAAACATATTTGTTTGGTCTTCATACTCAACCTCGTAAAACCACTCGTTACACTAATAAGTTGAAACTGGCGTGAGGTGGGGGGGAAAAAGGGAAAAGAGCCTTGTGTTCTAATAATTTAAGTCAGCCTGTAGTTATATTGTCCTGTGCTGTGTATTGCTTTCAAATTCAACATTAACGTAGCGAGAGAACCAATTTGGCTTGGATTTTGTTTACCAATCTCTTGACGAAGTCAGGCTCCCGTAGCTCAGTCGGTTAGAGCGCCGTACTTATAGACAGTATGAGCGATGCGGATGTCGGCGGTTCGAGCCCGCCCGGGAGCAGAAGTTTTTTATACGAAAATATAAAATGATTTTTCATGTTTTAAAAGGCATTAAAACGTGTCAGCGTGAACAGGTGAACAAGTTTTCACAATCTTTCTCATTCCCCCCCCCCACCTGCAGATTTGTTTAAATAGAATGGACTCTTTCTCTTTTCCAGTTTCCCACTCCCTTGTAAAATTACAGGATAAAGTTTTTACACAAATTGTTTTCTAAATTATAACATGCGAAATGCATGCGGGACCCGTCTATCATAGTTGTTTTTTCGAGGGACCATTCTATCATAGTAATACCGACTCGTTGAATGTTACCGGAAAATGTTCGACTTTGTTCAACTTTCCCGCTCGGAAGGTCCTTGTGATTTAATGTTCAGACCGCGTGTGGTCAAAATATAATTGGTTGAGGAGACCGTTGGGACCCTAACTTGACATGTTCAGACCGTTAGCACCAAAAAGAAATCCGGGATCTACTTAACAATCTCCCCCCCCCCCTTTCAAGAAAGGGGGGGGGGATTCTTTAGTAGGTACAATAGGGGGGGGGAGAGATTATATAGTAGGTACAATGGGGGGGGGGGATTGTTAAGTAGATCCGAAATTCGGTTTGGACGGAGCACAAAATGCTAGTCGAGCTCTTACCCTTTTATGCTAGTCGAGCGATCACCCTCGTTTGACCCGAATGGACGATTTGTAGGGGGTACATCGTACATGTGAACAATCTCCCCCTGAATAAAAGTGGACAATCTCCCACTCTAAAATTCAATGATAAATTCAAGCATCAAGTCCTGCATGTACTATGCTCAAATCTGAGTGGCTGAAACATATTACTTTTGACCAAGTGAACGACCACCTCCCTAATATGATTTGGGGATCGGCCTAGTAGCATGTGTGTCTATGAGCATGCCCATGTAAAGTTCAAGTTTTGTTCACTCAAAATAGCAATAGTGAACATCGTGCACTTAGCCGAATTCTTAATTGAGCGAATGTGAAATTTCAGCTCCCCAGCAAAACCTGTGGCTGTCGAAATTATTTAAAACTTATGGCTAATTTGTTTTTTTTTGTCTGAAAGCACAATCTGTCAAAGCAATTAGCGAATAATAATAGGCACACATGCTAGTTTCGACACCCCCCATTTGGTTTTGGGGGTGTAGCGATTTGTATGTGTGCCTATTCAGGGGTGTTCAAAAGATTATTGTATACAAGATTATTGTCAATAAATATATATCGATAATCTATTTTTTGGAGCTAAACATTACAATAATCTATTGTTGACTAACAATAATTGTGACTTGTTGCCTCGATTATTGTCTTGGGATTCGTAGCCAATGAATGTGGGCCTATTTACTTGTTTAGTCGAGCAAAAATGATTTTTGACGACTACCGTAAAAAACTCGAGCCTGTCAACCTTGAAGCGCAATTGTTCCTTTTTGTAAACAAGCAACTCTGGGATATTAAAGTTGTATCCGATTTGGTTTGAAAAATAAAATTTTCAACAATAATCTTTTTTTGTTCGAAATATTCCAAAGATTATTTAGATTATTTATTTTGTCAGCTCAAAAATATCGATAATCTATTTTGAAACTGCAATATAATCTATATCGATAACTGAACACCCCTGTGCCTATTAGCGTTCGCTAATTGCTTTAACAGGTTGCGCTTTCAGACAAAAAACAAATTAGCCTTAACTTTTAAATAATTTCGACAGGCACATGTTTTGTTGGGGAGCCGAAATTTCACTTTCGCTCAATTACAAAGTTCGGCTGAGTGCACGCTGTTCAATATTTCAAATTTGAGTAAACAAAATGTGAAAAAGCGAATCTTTAAACTACATTTTTTTACATGGGCAATGCTAATCGATACACATGCTAATAGGCCGGTCCCCATTTGATTTAGGGGGGAGATTGTTCACTTGATTCGTTGAAGAGTGTCGCATGATTTCTCCTCTGCATACTAGAGTAAGAAGTTATCCGCATCTCATTCAATTCTGATGGTTAACGCACCTTTCGCTCCTCTTGATTTTTGCTCCTATCATCTCACACACAACGTCCGTCGTTAAGAATCTACGGCGAAATATGTGAGTGGCGAAACGTCCTACATTCAATTCTGATGGCGATTGTTCTGCCCGATAAATTCCGTATTAGCCACAAAACATCACCTAACCCACAAAAACAATTTAAAAAACATGGAAGTCGTAATTTAGAGTACAACAGCGGCTCTCCGTATTTTTGCAACAATGGTCGTTATTAGAATAATAATGTGATTTGTGAGTGTCAAAACTTGTTCAGATCCACTTCAGCACCCCCAGTCGGAGACTTACTGGGGCAATGTGAATTCCATGGGACCCAGATCCTGTTATGACGAAGGCAAAAGGGCGGGAGAGACACTCTGTTACGCATACAACAGCAGGGTCAGTACACAAATACATACATGTATAAATTGAACACAGGGGAAACACAAGTAAGTTTTTGTGAGAAGGCAGAATTTGGTATCACAAGTCGTTTAATTGTCGCCTGTTGTGAATCGTCGGCTTACATTAAAGTAGATGCTACATTAATAAAGACTTCAGTTAACAATGAATGATGAGTTCATATTTTTTACATGTTTTTTACAAGGCTCGATGAAAGTAATGAAGGCTCTTATAGGTCATGATGATTTTTTTTTCGTTTTCAGGAAAGTTGATTTGTTTTCAAGTTCAGATTTATTTCCTTTGTTAAAAGGAAAGAAAACTCCGCCGTCGACCAGCTGAAGTGTAAAGGTCAACAAAAACCTGATCAACTTCTAGTTTCAAAAGTGGATTATAAATTTCAGGTTTTCCAGCGGATTAAGCGATTTATCTATTCTTCCAGTTTTCTCAAATTCGCTTAATTTTATCCAAAAAATATTCAAAATTATTAATTGTTTTAGAAATTCAAAGAGCTTTGAGGGATCTAATTTTTTCTTTGAAATTCGATAGTTGAAGTTTTAAAAAGCCAGTCAGTTTTTTTTCGGTTTCCTTAAGTTCACTGACTCTTTTCCAACTGTCTGTCGTCTATGTTCAATAGTTGGGATCTTGGATCACGGAATATTCCCAGCTGTTAAAAACGGTTTTAAACAACTTTTATCTATCTGACAAGAACGTTATTCAAACAATTTTAAGTCGGCAAAAAGATCCGAACATGTACAAATGGGAACTCTGTGTTGAAGCATTATGCAGTTTTATTTCTAAGAAAAAGAGTTTTTTTGGTCTTTTGTTATTCTTACACCTTTCTTCCTGGTCTTGTTTTGTGTTGCTTGTCAGATTCTTGTCTACTGCTGTTTCATCCACAGTGCTTTATTCACAATTTCAGAAAATTAAATCTTGAAAACTTATTCAAATTTTTTAACTGTTCAGCAACTGTAGAAATGAGCTTCAAGTCTCAATTTTTTTGTCTGTTATATTATATTACATTGTTTTCTATTCTGACTGGGAAGGATCTTTTGAAAGGTCGGTGAACGTAGTGAAGATATTTATTTAGGTCCTGATGATTTTTTTTCAGGAAAAGTCTTAAAATTTGTTCACGTTCAAATTTGTTTTTTCGAGGTTTGACTTTTGATTTCTTTCCAAGTTCAGTTTATTTGTCATAAAGAAAGCGGCAAACTCAACTATCCTTCTTATTTCGAAAATGAATTTTAATTTTCAGATGAACCTGTTGATCAAGTGTTCTCAAATTATTTATATTTGATCAAAAAAGTCTATCATTAATTTTTCTTGAATTTCGAAGAGATTCAAGACCCTATGATTTAACTCTGATATTTGAAATTGAATTATTTTCAAAAAACAAGTCTTTTTTCTGGTTTCCTTGCGTTCACAGACTTTTTTTCCAATGATCTGTTGGTTAGGTTTAGATTTATGTATGTTTTCTTTAGCAAAATATTCGTGCAAACCCATGAAGAAATTTGAAATAAAATTTTTACATGATATCCAAGCCAATTCAGCTGTAATTGCAAGTCCAAAGGAAAAATCACAGAAAAAGTTGTTTGAATTATAGGATTTATAGAGCGAAGAGCAAATCTGGACGTGTTTTAGGAAGCTCTTGACAATTCGTTAAGACAGCTAAATGTGAAGTTCCACACCTTGCTTCTCTCTCGGAAAATTTTACGATAAGAATGTTCCGAAGAATTTTTTTGATGTGTTTTTTTTTGCTAAACCTGCGAACATTCTGTGCTATTTTAACAGCAACCGGCTATCCTTGTCAATATCATGATTTTGTGTTTGCTGATTTTGAAACTTGAATCAAATTGAAAAACGGGAAAAAGGTTTAAAAAAGTTTTGCTGCTAGAGTTGGTCCTTTTTCAACTTCATTGAGTGTTTTTCGGATGCATTTCAAATTTATATCGGCTTTCGGATGAATTTAAAATACATCAGTAAATGCTGACCTTGTTAGGAAAAGTTTCTGAAGTAAATATTTTTTCATCGTATTTTTTATTTTTGTTTGTTAATTTTGAAAGTTTCCGTTTTGGATTTTTGAAAGTTCAGGAGGGAGTTTTATTTTTCGCGGATTCAGTTTTGATTTCTTCTCAAGTTCAGTTCTTTTCTTTAAACAAAAGGAAGACAAACTCCACTACTGAACAGCGAAAGTGTAAAGGTCACGCAAAACGTGATCGACTTCTTATTGCGAAAATGGAATTTAATTATCAGATTTTCCTGCAAAATAAAGTTTTTACCTATTGATCTAGGGCCATCAAATTTTTCTTAAAAAATCGAAAGTTTAAGATTTTTTCACAAAGTATTTCAATATTTTTTGTGTACTTGAATTCATTGACTCTTTTAAAACTGTCTGTTGGCTATATTTGCTGTCTGTAAAATTTCTAATACTAGCTCAATGTGTTTTATGTTGCAGATATGCTCAATTTTTCCATCATTAAAAGATAGATAGTTTTTTTGGGCTTCGTTGTCTCTGTTAAAGCTGAAACTTTGAAAAGTTTTTCCTATAATTAAAAGCTGGAAATTTAATTTGGTACTAACGAATTTTGGCATCCCAAAACTTCCCAAAAAATAGGATAAAAAATGAAAAAAAAACTGACCAGTATAAGCTTAGAAACAGTATACGTATTGTTTTTTTAAACCAAATTATACAATTTTTGACGTAACTCCATGTTGAAGTAAATGGTCTGCATTGGTTTTTTTCTCACAAAGAATCATTAAAAGCTCATAGGATTTAAATTACAGAGATCCTGTTGTTTATTTATAAAATATGCAATTAACATTTCAAAGGTCTGTTTTTCCAATGTTTTTTCTTCAAAATTCTGTTGTTCAATAGTTGCTTCCACGAAAACGAAATTGTTTGTGTAACTATTGAAAAAGACTTACAGATTGAAAAACCATTAACTGCTAAAACTGCAAACTTACTGGGCGAAAAGGTTTCTGACCCCAGAAAATTGTTCATTTCGTGAGCTTTGTCAATAGTTGTCGGGGTATGCACAATATTAAGATATCATATTCTGCAAACCGGAACAACGTTTCGCAATAGCTCTAACTTGGGTTAATTAGATTCATTTGAATAATACCAAACTGTCTCGTGATTTTTTATTCGGCTGCTGAAGTATGCACAATGTTGGCTCATTTCTACATAAGTTAGCAGCAGAATATCCATCCAGTAACGATAAGTTTCAATTTTTAAAATACAAGATTCGTCTCTTTTTACAAAGCCACCAAAGCATGCACAACAATTTCTCTCAAAATGGTTTTGTTGATTCATGTCTTTGGCGGATTTTTCTGAAAGAGTTTCGAACAAAATGTCCTGATAACTTACCCAATCTTCATTTTTGGGAGACGCTGATCTGTAGAATCTAGTTTTTTCTCATAATTTTCGCTGTATTCTCTCAGTAGAAGTTAGTAGAAATGAATGACTGAAGTTATCAAATGAAATGATAGACTGTTCATAGAAATTAGCTTTAAATAGGAGATTGTTTAGTTTGGGATGTGGTTAGACTACGTGCACTGCATTCACACTACCAACTTTTGTGGATTCGAAACCTCCTCGCGACTTGTGTTTACCATTCTTATAAACAATTTCTAAATCCCGTCTAAACTTTATTCCACATATTATTGTTGAGCATCATGCCTAAATACAATTGGGATATTCTTGTGGTTTGAGGAAAATTGTCAATCAACAATGAAGTGATTAATTCTGAAGCACCTTCATGAAATTTTGTTTAAGAACTATGTGAACATCCGAGTCGCCCGAATTTTCAATACGTTCGGCCCGCGCATGCATATAAACGATGGTCGAGTGGTGAGCAATCTGATTGTCCAATCACTAAAGGGGGAGCCACTTACCATTTATGGAGATGGTGCAATCACTCGCTCTTTCCAATATGTCAGGTGAGACTTTCTATTTATTTTTGTTTTTCCTTTTCTTTTGAGATCTCATTTCAATGAGAAAAGTGTGAATTATTTCAACTTCCGTTTATTTAACTACATTTGTGGAAACTCGGCGTTTTCATAAATTTCATTTCACATAATATCATGTGAAAAACTGAAATTGCTGAACTTATTCACCAAGGTATGAAATAGTTTCATTTCATGCGAAAACCAAGATGGTCATTATTTCCACTGCTTTCGATGGACTCCAACATCGTATATGTATAAATTACTTTGTTTCAAGGAGGGCAGATAATAATAGTTGGAATTCGATAGAAATCCGTTAATAACAGTGAGCATATTTTGTGTCGGGTCCAGAACATTCTAAAAGAAACATCAGCTTCGAACCATTTTTCCTTGCTAAAAATGCTCAGCATAAGAGCTGCTCCGCTCTTGATCGCGAACCGTTCTCTGCTCATATTTGTGCCCAAAACCACCAAGCATTTTTTAAATTTTACGGGCTGCGAGAACTTTGTTGGGCTGATTGTGATATACATTCCTCATCAATTAACAAAGCGTAATTCTTGATAAATTGAAAAAAGCCAAAGTGACCCATTTTTGGGGTAAAATTTTGGTTGAGAATTTGGGAGAAAAAATTGCCCCATATTAATTCTGATGAAATTCTAAGCAACTTTTGTTCTCTTCACTTTTTGTCTTATGTTAACCCAATTTGAGAAAAACGTGTTTGAAAATTCAAGTTTTATTCATTTTGTACGGATAGTTTAAATCAGCACTATACTTTCATTCATACGTGAGCATTCTAAAATTTCATTGTGATTTAATTTTGAGTCATACAAGGATAATAAATGTAAGTAAATTGTGTTTTTAGTGACTTGGTAGCTGGTTTGGTGAAATTGATGGATAGCAATGTCACCACCCCTGTCAATCTCGTAAGTTGTCAGATCCTTTCACTGCCCGTGATAAAAACTAACATGGATAGCTGGTCCCTGTACAAGTTGTACAGAATGTTCCGACCACACTGATTTACAGAAGAAAGATAAAAACTAAGACAAAATTTATAAATAGAAATTTTTAAAAATTTTTTATGTGTTTCTAGGAAAGGCGATTGAACTAGGTGGAATAATGCTCGAATCAGTTGTAATTTTTCAAAACTAAAAATCGTGTAAATTTAACTTTGGAGGTAGAGGTTTTTTGGAGGCCAGCATCTAATCAAATTCTTGTCACATCAGCCTCTGTCTATTTTAGTCTGAAAAACCAGTTTTTTTTAGACTAAGATTAAGACAATTCATCCACGAGGGAAAGGTACAACATACGAGCTGAACTGCTCATCACGGCGAACCGTTCTAGTGCCCCTGCTTAAGAACTACATGCAAATTTTTTTGGTTATTTTTTAAAAATTTTTATAGACTAAATTTGACCAGTGTTTCTCGACACCCCAGACAGTTTTTTTTATAATCGAGTTACGACCAAAATGGCTTAAATATGAAACCAGGCGAGTTTCTCGATACAGATAATTTTTTTAAATTTTATTTTGGAATCGGAATAACGACTAATAGGGATTTAATATGATACTACGCTCGACCCTCTACAAGGTTTCTTTGGGGTAGCAAATACTGCGAAATTTTTGTACCTAGGACGTAGTTTTTTCCCATTTTTTGAAGTGGCAGGAACTATCACAATTAAAAATGCAACATGCAGCAAAAGTCTGCGTGCAGATTTTAATAAATGGAAGCGGTCGCTACCTGTCAATACTGCGTTTCAGACTAATTTTTAAGCTTATCGAGGTGTACCATCTCTTTAAAGCTTACGATTTGTCCATTTATACGGGTTGTCTTTTGTTGCGAGTTGTTGTGGAACCATTTTATTGCTAGCAACGAAGTGACTTATGATTTTAAATTATAGTGATCGAAATTCTGGATTTTAGGTGATTCCGCTTCTTGATTTTTTTCCTTTAATCGTTTTTCCGCTTTTATTTTTTACATTAGTCATGGATTTCAGGGAAACCCTGACGAGTATTCGATTGGAAACTTCGCCAAAATCATCAAGGAAATGACAGGTAACGTATTTTTTAGTTCACTGCATTAAAGCTCTGCAGTATCTATATTATCTATAAATATAACTTCTCATTGATGATACTTTTTTGCTGCAGATTCGCCTAGTGAAATCAAGTACATGCCGAAAGTAGTAGATGACCCGCAGAAACGGAAACCGAACATTTCGAAAGCAATGAGAGAGTTAGGCTGGAAACCAATCGTAAGTAAACTGTAAATTTGGAATTTATTTCTGATATAATCTTTACAAAGCCGTTTTTCGATTTATGTCAATTTGTTTGAATGGTAAAATTTTCTGTTTTTCGATCAACACTTTTTCAATATACGTGTGCTTAGTTTTTCCTTCACTTTTTCCAAAACGTTCAATTTCATGTGGCTTTTTGAGTCGAGTCATTTCATTTCGTCTCGGCGGTTTGTCCTTTGTCGAACTTTTTATGGGCCACATGGTGTCCGACTTCATCCTTATTGGCTTATTTACCACATTTTTGTGAGAACTTTCATTTTTGGAATTTGAGTACATTTATATTTATTTTAAGTGCTAATAAACTAAGTGATATTTCACTTATTGAAATTGTGTTTTCACTTATTGAAAGTGTGTCACGCTCAATTTTTTTTTGAGTTTAACTTTTAATTTCTGTTCAACAATTTGCGAATTGGAAGGCAGCTTACGCTCTTTCCAAAAGTTTGAGTGGCGTGAAAAAATATGGCTTGACAAAAGTGCGAGTGGCTTGAAAAAATATGTGAGACCTATTGTAGTTTTAGTTTGTAATCTTTCAAACTGGAATAAAAACTTAACTTATTGATCCATTTTTCTACCACTTGTTTCATTTTAATCGAAAAAAAAATTTGTAATCCAAGGTGCGATTTTATTATTATTTTTTTTAAATTTGAAAGTCGTTCTTTTTTTGTATTTTGTAACAAAAGCTTTTTACTCTTGCGAGTGTTTAACTTCAAGATCCGATTTTATTTAGCAAAAATGCAAATGGTGCGAGAAGTTGTAATTTTGAAAGGATTTTTAGCAAAAATTGTATTGTGATTTTTTCAAACTCTATTTGCTTAATGAAAGACAATTACGCTCTCCAATAGCTAACTGGAAATTGATGGAAAATGCGTGAATGACTGAGTTTCCCTGACAATTTTTATATAAGCGAAAAATCCCAGCAGAATGAAAAAGTTCAGTTTTTGTTCCGACTATTGAAAATGCGGACGAACTTTGTATTCGGGTATTTTTTTCCACAGCAAAATCAGGTACGTTAAATATTTATTGGACTGAGTGGGAGTTATATCATATTGAAGCCCTTTCAGTCGTTATTCGAACGACCTTAAAAGGTTTCCAACAAATTTTCCCTGTGTAAAAAAAAACGGTTTGAAGTTTTTGACTTTTCGTCTAATTTGGAGCAAATAAAGTGTCATAACATGTTAAATTGTTCATTTAGGCTAAAAAAATTTTTATTCTATACAAAAACTAGTTTTGGAAGTTTCATTTTTCAGTTACCTGGCCAAAAAAGTTTTCTAAAAGAATTTTAAAAAATATTGTGCAAAAAAAAATCAAATTTAAAAAGTTTGATTTTTTTGTTTTTTTCGAAGCTAACACTTGGCGGTTACGCTAGTTTACTATTTTTCTACGTTTGTGTACAGTTTTTGCGTCATACCACGCACAAGAAACGACACTAATTTGTAGAACTGATTAATTTGTAGATTTTTTATTTGTATTTGCTTATGAATACGGCTATCCTTGTTATTCAACAAACGTTTCGTTTGAAATAGTTTCTTAACTTTTTCGTAATTTTCTTTTGCGGTCATATCTTGTATCCGCTTCGTAAGGGAGCCTGCTGTTTTCTATAAAATTATTGCTAAACTGTGTGACAGCTCGATCAGTGGACACAGCCAGGAAGACGAATGATCCATAATCCTGAGGTTCGCGGTTTGAATCCCGTAGTCGCTTAATTCTTTCCCAAAAGCCGGGTGTCATTTGTTTTTTTTTCAAACTTGCCGTTGTTTGAAAAAAAGCCGTTGTTTTGCACTATTTTCAAACTTGAGAACCGTCTGAGGTCAGTCAATGTTTCTATGGGAACTGATGACAATTTTTGAATTGTTTAGAGAACTGATGTCAAATATTGGATTTTGTCTAAATTAATTTTTTTTGACTAAATCTACGTTTTACTGTTTTGTATGCGTTTACAGAATATTTCGTTTGTTTTATGTTCATACATTTTTTGCTTATCGTTGTTTTCGTTGCGCTTTCTACAGGAACTTTATCTGACGTGCCTTTTACCAGTGTTCGAATTCGCTATTTGCCTGTAGTTAAACAAGTATAGCTTGTGTAATAGTATGAACTCTTTTTTTAACCTAAGCCGCAAATATTGTTGCGCTGAAATTGTGGTGACAAAATGTGTTCATATTGAAAGTGTTCGTTTTGATCCAGCTATTAAGTACAGTCAGTGCTAAGGATATTAACACAGACTATTATATTACAAATAGCACTTTAGTTTCAAGGTATCATGGATCTGTAGCGTAGAGGTAGGGAAGGAGACCAGCAACGAAATAAGAGGGTTCGAACCTGGTCAGTGTCGGATGTTTTAAATGAAATTTTTCGTATACTAGATAAAATGCGTCCCCTTTATAAAGTGAGGCATGTTAGTTGGTAAATTTCTTTTTTTCTTCAAATTGACTGGTACTGCTATTGCGTCATAATTGGCTTGCGTCACTTAGCAATTATGTAGACTCATAATTGGCGTGCGTCACTTAAGAAATTTTGTAGACTCAAAGTTTTGCTCATTCAGTTTTTCCCTGTAGCGTTATCGGTCATATTTTTGCTTGTGTATGCGAATGTTTTTTTTTCTAAAATCAATTTTGGGAAAATTAGACTGAATTATCATTATTTTAATGCTCCGTTTTCTTAAAGATTCAAATAAAACCCGATGTAGTAAGATTTCAATTCGCCCTATCAGCCCTGCTTACAACTTCTAACCAATTTTTCAAATATTCCTTAAATTATCTTCACGGTTTACTTATATTGTCAGGTGCCAGTCAAGAAAGGACTTGAGACAACAATCAAGTACTTCAAATCGGAGATCTACCGGGACAGCACGTGGGAACCATTCGCAGATGTAAAGTCCGTTGTTAGCAAAAAAGAGGACTGATTGTTGAAAAATTTAAAATAAATCTGCTGCTATGAAACGTAGCATACGCGCCTTGAATTGTCAAGATGAAATAGAAGGCTCTTTCGTCAAGTCCCCGCCCCTCTCTTGACTGAGTTTTGAAACATGTTTGTAAGTTTTCTATGTTTCTAGCGGTAGTAATTTTCAAATTTGGATCCTGTTGCTGTCATTTGAGTAGCACTTACGTTAATAAATGAGGAATTATTAAAGGAGCCAATTGATACCATAGATTAATAACTTCACACATTCAAAAGAACGAAAACGTTCTTGTTAGGAAAACCTTGTTAGTACACAACCATAAACTTATTTTATGGTTTAATAGTTTCTGTATCTTCTATAAATATCGGTGCTGGTAATATACTTACTTAAACTTCAATATTAGTTGAACTAGTCTATTTTACTTCAGAGGGTAAGTTTTGCAGATAGTTTTAAAACTTTATCAGTGCTAATGTTGTTACATAATTAACGATCATATCACTCTTTCAATGTAAATAATTTTGCTGTTTGATCTTTTAAATGTTTATGTTATTACCCTTGCGATAAGTAAGGGTATTGCAACCGGCTACTAGATTTTTTACCCTAAACACTTCGTTCACAGAATGGTCAATTTAATAATTCACGATTTCTAAGTACCTTCCTTTTAATGTGCCACCTATATCTTACATGTACTACTTTTTTATTGAAAGATCGTAATTGATTTTAAGTGGTCCATGCAAGTCTGTTTTCTCTTAGATTGAGTAAATCTTTTGAATTGAAATAGATTCAAATTCGACAATCGATGTTCATAAGCTTTAAATCAACTTCTCTGATATTTTTCAAAACTAAATATTGTAATGAAATTTAAGATTTAAAAAAAAATTTTACGGAGGCAGATTTGTTCAAAATTGTACTCGCTGTTTTCGAGTGGCATGCTTTGTTTATCAAATCTTTTTTGGTGAAGATAATTACGCTTGTGATTAGCAAGCGTTATCAAATAGGAATATGGAATTTTTCTTCCGGCTAAAATTTAGTTTAATAGAATCAATTCAATCATTTTACCTTTAATTCATATGAAATCAAAAGTCAGACGTTAATACGCGTGTAGCAGAAAGCTAACGCACCTGCCTATGAAGACAAAGGTCGATCACTCGAATCCGGCCAAGATCTGCTTTTTTATAAACGGGAAAATGTCGCGCGTCAAAAAATATTCGCCGGATTTCTGTTTTCTGCTTGCTTTTTGTCGGCTTAAGTGCCGCAGCACCAAATTTATTCAAAATTTTGGTATTTTGTTACTTAAATTGAAGAAATCGTAAAATATGTGCTGGGCAGTAATTTTTCACTAATAAGCTCTCAAGGGGTAAGTCCTAAGCGAAGGAATCTAGGACACTGGTTGCAAAACACATGTTCTCGCAGTAAATCTTAAAAAATTGTGGTTTCGAGTAAGTCTTCTGTTTAAAACTTTTTGCGACGGGTAAAATCTCTGATTACCAAAACTACTTAAATGTAGCCAATAGCAACTTATTTTGTTGAAAGTTTTCGCGATTCAACGTCAAACGTAGAGTGGGACGGAGCTTTCCAACACTTGAGATACAACAAAACATTGCTTTAAAGTATAGTGAACAGAAAAAGAAACCTTAGAAAAAAAATTCAAAAATTACATAGAAAAAGTTTCATAACAAATTAATTTCACAAAAAAAAACAACTAATACAAATTTTTATGGTTTTAATAGATTGTTCATAAAAAGCGTTGGAAAACATTGGGATTATTTGACAGAGCAGCTTTTCAGATGAAACAAAACTGTTCTCGTAACAAAAACTTTTCCATCCAGGCTGAAACACTTAAAGCATAAAGATATAATTTTTCGTCGAAACTACGCAAATCGATTTGACAAAAATCATTAATATAAGCTGAAACAAAGTTGGTCGAACACTGATTAGATCTTATGGTTCGACTAATTGTCCGTTGTCCACCCAAGCTATCTCAGCCGACCAAAAGTTTTGTTCTACTGAGGTCAATACATAAGTCGATTATGATCGAAACATAACAAAAAACGAACCAGGGTCGATACATGACATGAGTTCAAAAACTTCCCATGGCTCAGCAAAAATTAGACTGCCTTATATTTATATGTATAAATAAATATGTAGAGAGATCAGCCCCGGAGGGAGCGTCAGCTCAGGGAAAAAGACTTTGCAGATATAATGCTCCTTAATTTTTCAACTGAGCTCGAGAACTAACAGCCAAGAACAAGTTCGATTAAAGTTTTTTTTGATGCCGGACGGAAAAAATTATCTTTAAATCTCCATTTTTGGTCGATTTTTGTAATCATTTGGAGGTTCAAAATTACCAGTTCGCCCAATTTACTGAACCAATTAATGAGCGGCTGACTCCCATGTAGAGAAACTCATCAATTCATGATACACCAATTCATGAAGAGAAAATTACAAATGTAACAAAACATAATTGTTCAAATTTTGTAACAAAATAAGTAACTAAGTATTGAAAATCTATTTATCGGAAACATCGAACACAAGACACTAAAGACAATAACAGAAAAAAACTTAAGACACTATCAAAAGAATAAAATTGATCGTCGGCTAATATTTTCTACTAAATCGATTTTTTCAGTCAACAAAGAAAAACTTTTTTTTTTTTCATTTCTAGCATTCGAAATTTAAAATTTATACTTTTCGGTCGTCAGTAAGAAATCTGGTTTTTCAAATTTCCATGTCAAAGCGGAGATTTTTCTGTGGCCTCTCTAATTGTTGCTGTCGCACAATGGCCTCCATATTCATGTAGCTATGGTGTTGCAACAGTAAAAAGTTCATCTTCCTTTTTATCATTGGACGTGCAGCCTCCATTGCAACTGCTCCACAAACTCCTCCGCTTTGGTCCAATCTTGAGAAAGATAGCGCCAGCAATTCTTCATTATTTCGTACATGCCATTGGTCAATTTAAAAATTTACGATTTTTAAGTTTCTTCCTTTTAATGTACCACCTACATCCTACATGAACTACTTTTTTATTTAAAGATAGTAATTGATTTTAAGTGGTCCATGGAAGTCATGTGATTCTAAATCGAAACAGTTTCGGATTGTTTTCAGTTTATTTGGTGTCGGCCTTAGTTCTGTCGGATTATATACTTTGTTTTTCTATTAGATTGAGTAAATTTCTGTGATTGAGTAAATTTTTTGAATTGAAATAGACTCAAATTCGACAATCGATGTTCATAAGCTTAAAATCAACTTCTCTGATACTTTTCAAAACAAAATATTGTAATGAAATTTTAGATTTTTTAATTTTGGCAAAATTGTTCAAAATTGTACTCGCTGTTTTCGAGTGGCAGGTTTGTTTATAAAATCTTTTGGTGAAGCTAATTACGCTCGTGATTAGCAAGCTTATCAAATAAGAATATTGAATTTTTCTTAGGGCTAAAAATTAGTTTGAAAGAATCAATTTAAACATTTTACCTTTGATTCATATGGAATCAAAAGTCAGACGTTAATACGCGTGTGGCAAAAAGCTAATGCACCTTCTCATAAAGACAAAGATCGATGACTCGAATCCGGCCAAGATCTGCTTTTTTTAACAGGAAATTGTCGCACGTTCAAATTTTTAGCTTTTTCTTACTTGAATATTGCCGATTTTTTTAAATTTTCTTTCATGTTATTAGTTAAAAGTTTTTGGAAGTTGTTTTTAAAGCTCAAGTTCAAAAAATGTTCTGTTCAGTTGGCGCAGTGGTATCACCCATACTTGAGACAAAAATCACGGAAACTCAATGCCAGTCGGGACCTGTTTTTTGTGGAAAATGAAAATTTTGACTTTTTTAGACATGTGTGGCTGCTTAATTTTATGGGCTTAGATCCCGCAGAAAAGATCATGTCAATGTTTCTAGCGTTACAGTTAATTGTATTTAGGATTTTTTTTCCTTTTTTGCGATATTCGGAACTTTTTTTAGAAAAAAAAACAACTTTTTGAAGTTTTTTAAAATTGTCTTTTCTTTTTTTTTTAAATCATAATCATTCATTTTTGTATCGCAAGTGGTGCTAAGCTCAGCCTCGCTACTGCGTAATAGATATTCTCTTGTTTTGTTACGGTTCTTAGGTTCCAAATGTTTATTCCAGCTTTATTTCACCATGAATAAGCTTTAAATTGCGTGAGAAATTGAACGTTTGTAATGCTCCTTCATTCAAATTAGTGTATATAGGCGCCCAATAATAGTCCAAATGAGATGTCCTAAAATATTATAACAGGAGAGACCCACCGGGTTGCGATGGTATCATTTTCTGAGGGAGCGGATCCCCATCAATGCCATGATAATGCCAACAGTTTCATCAATTAAAAAACCTTCCAAGTGTTTTTCTTCGAAAAATCGTTTGTCAAAAAATGTGCGAAAAAAAATGTGCGAAAAATCATTTTATTTTGACACTTTTTTCATTTTTTAGCTACGTTCTTCTTTTCGTTGTGAATTCAAATATTGTAATATTAACCATGGGAGCAGGTTAGATGTCACTCGCAAATGGATAGCAAGCGAATCAATTTGCAGAAAAAGCGTAAAATATGTGCTGGGCAGTAATTTTTCACTAATAAGCTCTCAAGGGGTAAGTCCTATGCGAAGAAATCTAGTTCACTGGTTGCAAAACACTTGTTCTCGCAGTAGATCTGACAAAACTTTGTTTTCAATTAAGTCTTTGTTTAAAACATTTTGGGACGGGTAAAACCTCTGATTACCAAAACTACTTAAGTGTAGCCAATAGCGACTTATTTTGTTGAAAGTTTTTGCGATTCAGAGTCAAACGTAGAGTGGGACGGAGCTTTCCAACACTTACAACACAAAAAAAAACTTGCTTTAAAAGATAGTGAACAGAAAAAGAAAAATGTTAAAAAATTTGTTTCAAAATTTAGGAAGAAAACGTTTCATATAAAATTCAATTTCAAAAAAAAAAACTAATACAACCTTTCATTGTTTTAATAGATTATGTTCATAAAAAGCGTTGGAAAACATTGGGTTTATTTGACCGAGCTGCTCTTAAGATGACAACGTTTGGGTTGATCCCTGTTGAGACGAAAACAAAACTGTTCTCATAACAAAATGTTTTTCCATCCATGCTGAAACACCTAAAAGCATAAAGATATGTTTTGTCCTCGAAACTGCGCAAATCGATTTGACTAAAATTATTAATATAAGTTGAAACAGAGTTGGGTCGAACACTGATTAGATCCTATGGTTGGACTAATTGTCCGTTGTCCACCCAAGCTATCTTAGCCGACCAAAACTTTTGTTCTACTAAGGTCAATGCATAAGTCGATTATGATCGAAACATAACAATAAACGAAGCAGGGTCGATACATGAGTTCAAAAACTTCTCATGGCCCAATAAAAAATAGACTGCCTTATGTTAAGATCTATAAATAAATATGTAGAGATATCAGCCCTCGAGGGAGCGTCAGCTCAGGGAAAAAGACTTTGCAGATATAATGTTCCTTAATTTTTCAATTGAGCTCAAGAAATAACAGCCAAGAAGAAGTTGGATGAAGTTTGTTTTTGATACCGGACGGAAAAAATTATGGTTCTGAGTTTTGTCAATTTTGTAATCATTTGGAGGTTCAAAAATACCAGTTCGCCCAATTTGCTGAACAAATTAATGAGCG